CTCGAATACAAAATCATTTGAGTATAACTAATCGCAATTATCAAAGAGTTTGTCATCGATCACAAAGAGAAAGGTAATTAATAAATTAATTTGCTGATTTCATAACTTTATATGTGTACTATATCAAGTTATAATTACGAAAATTTGATTTCACCATCCATTGATTACAAGAAATGTTAGAATTAATTAAGATGTACTAATATCTTATCTTTATTTGATTTCACTTTTAAAAAATAAAAAATATGAAATTAAATTCAAAGATGCATTTCCAGTGGATCAAGGCAAAAGGCCATTGATTTAAATCATAAAATTAATTAGAGTTTAATTTGATGATCCGTATATGTAGGTTAATTCGGAGGGGATTGCAAATTATTTGTGAGATAGATAGAGATTAAGTTGAGAGGTATTAATGATTTGGTAGAAGCATTATTTACCTGATGAAGTTAGGCAGCGCAATAACTTGAGAAACGTAAAAACTAATGAGAGAATTTTGAAAGCAAATCTATTTTGTTATGTTTAATTATGACACTTGAAAGCGGTAAAGTTGCGTAATAAAGTAAAAATCTTCTGCACCATCGGAGTGAGTTATGGTGACATGTCACATTATGTATAGGGAAAAGGGGATAGGAATAGCTCTATACACATGTCAACTCACCCAATCTGATTTAACCAATACCTGCCTGGGTTAGCCTCATTAACCATATTCATGAAAGCCGGCCGTCCTATCAACCTTATCCTACTTTACATTCATTATTAATGTTTTTTTTTTTTTTGTCAGGATATCCGTAACTTCACTTAATTTTTTACGACCTGATAACTATTAATCGGGTATGATTAAGTTAAAATTTTACAGTTTTTTCTTTTTGGTATTTTGTAAAATTTGTTTATTATTTTCAAAAACAATATCTCCCAATGACAAATTTTCATTATATTCTTTCTTTACTTTTTCTCTCTCAACAAAATCATAATGAATTTAACTTGTAACCCGGCTATTTTCTTATCTATCTTTATTTTTAAATAAAAATATATTTTTAATTGTAANAGCCTACCGTCCTATCAACCTTATCCTACTTTACACTGATTATTAATGTTTTTTTTGTCAGGATATCCGTAACTTCACTTAATTTTTTACGACCTGATAACTATTAATCGGGTATGATTAAGTTAAAATTTTACAGTTTTTTCTTTTTGGTATTTTGTAAAATTTGTTTATTATTTTCAAAAACAATATCTCCCAATGACAAATTTTCATTATATTCTTTCTTTACTTTTTCTCTCTCAACAAAATCATAATGAATTTAACTTGTAACCCGGCTATTTTCTTATCTATCTTTATTTTTAAATAAAAATATATTTTTAATTGTAACAAAAAATAAACTATTTTCTTACATTAACAAGATTTATTATTGATTTTATACTGATATTTACCATATACATTTTAAACATCATAATACATTATTATATACATATATTTATAGAATGATTGGCTGAAAGGTTAATGATGATATGTGCATAATGAATGTATAAAAAGTCTAGTCCTAGACCTAGAGGAATCGTGTGCACTGAAATCATATAGGAAAGGTCTAAACTCTAAACCAATCCAATTTTAAATGCCATCCGCCCCTTACGAGGCAAGGAGTGAAACACGACTTTTCTAATCAAACATGCTTGTATTCAATTTGACTTTCAGCTTCCATTTATTACCATTACAACATCAATGACGCAACCCAGCATGTCTGAATCTAAATTAACCTCAAACACTGCAATTTTTTTTTTTGAAGGGAAAAAAAAAACCACCTACCAATAAAAATATTTAATAATTATTAGTTGAATAAAAAGAAAAGCGGGTAGGGGCCAAGCCCTTGGGATGGAAGATGTTAAGTCATAGTCAATTTTATGGCCTTCAATTTTCCACTTCTTTACTTTTCTCACAAGATATAATATTTCTTGTCAGCTATGGCCATATTTTCTTTGAGATAATTAATATTACTTTGAATTACGCTAAATCGATTACCATAGGACTTTTTATTGACATAGACATAAGGGTTTGATTTAACATAAAATGACTAATATATAACCCATATTGTATTAAAACCTTATGTTATGAAATTTAACGGCATGGTGATTTATGTCCTTTTTGAAATTTCAAAGGAAATTTGATGGGTGGATATAAAACCCACTAAATGGGCTAGATACATAAATTTGGATTATATTAGATGATTAACATAAAATGACAAATATAGGAAGGAAACAATAATGTCAAATAAGTCAAGATTATATTCATGAAATGAAGTCGTTAAAAACAACATTCAAAAGATCAAGTATTTAGTGTTGTAGTTTCAGATAAATTCCGCTTTGTATGGCTAAATAGAACGAATACATTGGTTCGAGACAGGTTCCTACGGATATGGACCACCTTTTTTGATTACAAATTTAGAATGCACGCTGAAGTTATGTGTTTTATATTGGCAACTATGCCCGAGTGCTCAACTGTTTTTCACATGGGTCAATTACCAATCTGGAAACTTCCTCTTTGCCTTCTCTAGAATCTCATGAGATTCTTAAAATTATTTCAAACTTCTACATATATTTTAAGGGTTAATTACTATTGTTCTCTCCAAGTATAATAGAATGTATCTGAAATTATGAAATTTTATTTTTATTAGTGTTTTGTACTTAATTCATACATTTTTTTTTTCCAATATTTGTTTCTTTAAATTAAACAGTAAAACTTTGACGGGATATTGATGGTAAGACATAAATTGTTAAATTAAAAATAGTGAAACCTTATTGATTACAAAAGGGTAAATTTAAATTGTTATTTCAAATAACTAAAAGAGAAAATTATTATTTAATTACACTTCGCGTATCTATATTTTAAAAGGTTGTTTTAAAGCATATTTATTAGAAGATAAAAGATTTACTTATTTTTATGTAAATTATATATAAAAAAATTTTGAAAAGCAATCACAAAATATGTATTAAAATATTAGCTTTTTTTTCTTAAATCTTAATAAATGATTTGGTTAATCAAGTATAATTGCATTTGCCCACGTTGGAAGCATTAAAATAAGGTGTGAAAGTAAGAGGCGTATATGGGATGGGAGCATGGATCATGCATTGCGTCATGAAGAAAGTAAATAATGGAAATATCAAAAACAAATAAAATTTAGACGATGGACAGAAACCAGAATTTTTGGTTAGTGATAATAATATTTTTGACTCTATTTGCCAAGAATTTCCCCTCAGTGATAATGTTTTTAATTGACTATCGTAATAAACCATAATAATGTCTCTTTGACTCTCTTGCTTAATATCTAATTCATCTTTTTGAATCTATTACCTTCCACTTTCTACTCCATTGACAAAAGCAACCATCCACTGCCACTGCCACTTCAATTTTAATATTTCTAATGGATTCTGGTGAAGTGGTAATGTATCAAAGCTGTTCATTTTTTTTTTCTCTCTTAAAAAAAAAAAAAGTAAAAATATAATGGAAGTTTACAATCTCAACGTTACCCACTTTGTATTATAGAATTTCCTCTGATTAATTATAAAGTTTAATCATATAAAATATTGTTGATTATGGGATTATGAATTATTGCTCTATCAACTTCTACACAACTTATTCAATGCAAAATTTGACGACTATCTTAAAAATAATACATATTTTTCTTACGTACATGATGGCCGAATTTATTGAAAAATAATACATACTATTTAACTAGGATGACAATGGGCCTATATCGGCCCATGTATAATAAGATAAGGCTCATTTGAATTTACTTCAAACCCAAAACAGAATATGGGCCCAACAAAACAATATCCTTAAACCTCTATTCTTATCTCACTCCCCAAACAGGTACTCAACCCTAGAAACCTCTGTACTTTAGCTTCCGCTGACTCCGCCGACTCCGACCACCCACAATGGAGGTAGTTCAACTTCTACAGTGTAAAAGAAGTATATATCATACAAACAATATGCAGACTGAGTCAGCTTGTGGGATACCCTGCATTTCAAAATTTACAATTAAAATTAAGAATATGAGCGAAACGACAATTAAAATGTCGTTTATGGTAAAGCTACAAGAAACGATCTTTGATTCTTATGGACTTAGGTAATATTTGCCATCAATAACTTTTAAAATTAGATTTTTTTTATACCGCATGCCATGAAAATGTATACATCTAAACTATAACCTAAAGTTTATTAATATGGCATTTGCCCTCGTTTTGGAAGTATGGATAGCAAAGCAGGATGATAGTGAATATTGAAATATCATATCAAATATTATTTAGTTAATGGACAGAAACCAGATTTTTTTGACTCTCTTGCCCAAAATTTCCCCTCAATGATAATGTTTTAATTGACTATCATAGTTACCCATAATGATGTTTCTTTTGACTCTATTGCTTTATATCTAATTCATCAGTTATACTTTTTGGGTCTATTACCATCCACTTCCACTGCAATTTTAATATTCAACTAATGGGATTTGTTAATGTATCAAAGCTGTCTGTATTATAAAATTTCCTCTGATTAATTATAAAGTTTAATCATATAAATTATTGTTAAGGGTCATATTTTCTTTGGTTATGGGATTATGAATTATTGTTGTATAAACTTCTACACAACTTATTCAATGCAAAATTTGACTACCATCATAAAAATAATACATATTTTTCTTATCTACATCATGATAAAACATAATGGATGGTCTTGGATTTATGTAAAAAATTATAATTAAAATAATCAAATCTTAAATAATTTTGAGTAGAAAAAGTTTTTTTATTTATTTTATTAAGATGTTTTTCACATTCTTTTTAACTAGCATGACAATGGGCCTACCACGACCCATTTACAGTGGATTAGGTCCATTGAGCTTTCTCTAAGTCTCAAAGCCCGAAACAGAATCCCGGCTGATCCAAACAGAGGCCCATCTTTTCTACACCCAACAAAGCACTATCTTTTTATGGCTTCAAGCTGGAAACAGAGAAACCGAAGCTCGGGTGTGCTGTGAGCCTGTGACTGTGCTTCATTCAGTATACGCGTTCTTCATCGTCCGCAGCACACGACAAAATGCCTGCAATTCACTCTTCACTCAACTTTTACCTCAAACCTCTATTCTTATCTCATTCCTCTATCTCCTTCAGCAAATTCGCAATCCCCAAACAGGTACTCAGCCCTAGAAACCTCTGTGCTTTAGCTTCTGCCGAATCCGCCGCCAGCCACAATGGAGGTAGGTCAGGTGCGCTCTCTCCGCCTACGGTCACGGAGGAGTTGCAGAGAATTGACGTCAATCCTCCCAAAGGGACCAGAGACTTCCCTCCCGAGGATATGCGACTTCGCAATTGGCTCTTTCACAATTTCCGAGAGGTTAGGGTTCTAAAACAGCGTGTAAACGAATATGCATTTCCGTTTTTGTGATTAAATAATCTTCTTTTTCAGGTGTCACGTTTGTTTGGATTTGAGGAAGTTGATTTTCCAGTGTTAGAGTCAGAGGCTCTGTTTATTAGAAAAGCAGGGGAGGAGATTCGAGACCAGGTTTATTTCATTTTTCCTCAAAGTAAAGTTTGTATGTGTGAGCGATGAAAATGATAATGATGGATGTCCTTTAAGCATGATATAATGTGCTTGTGTACTCTTTAAAAGATTCTTTCTTGCAGCTGTATTGTTTTGAAGATAGGGGAAATCGTCGTGTTGCATTGAGGCCGGAGCTGACTCCATCTTTAGCAAGGCTGGTGATACAGAAGGGGTACTAAAAATTCTGATTATGCAGTGTATCTTTTGTATTATTATTCATTATTTTTTCCTGAATGTGTGAAAGTTTAGGTGTTTACATAATTATTTACTTATGATTTTTGTATCCAGGTCCGGATGTCAGAATTTGATCCCCATGTTTTTTTTGGTCTAGAAAATCAGTGCCTCTCCCATTGAAATGGTTTGCTGTTGGACAGTGCTGGCGATATGAGAGAATGACAAGGGGACGGCGTCGTGAGCACTACCAATGGAATATGGATATCATTGGTGTTCCTGAAGTGACGGTATGTGTTGCCAACTCTGTTTGCTCTAGAAGCCATCATATTTACAGTTTCTGTTGCCAATTCGAATGGCATGGGCTTTATATGCTCCTTTTTCGTAATTTTTGAATGTTATATCATCCTTAATTTAGCAATTTTGCTGTAACATTCTAAGGTTCATTTAAAATTTTATTTTCTAAAGGTACTTTTCTTCCTCTCGCTTCACACATCTGCATACTCAACTTTAACACTGTTTAAGGTTTTTCAACTTGTACAATTTTCAGTACTCGTCTAGAACTAACACTTTTTGGTAACACCAATATTATGCTAATATTTTAGCATGAAATTTTACCACTTGTGATAAAAGCAGTAATAACAATGAGATGCTTGTCAAAGATAACAAGTTTCAACACTTGATGACACAATCATTCACATGACCATATGTTGCATGCGCACACACAGATTTGTGCTGCCTTCTCTTCTACTCTTTCTTCTTAAAGTCACTGTTTATTTTAATTTTTGAGCTGGTTTGTTCTGATGCACTTCATATGATTTTTGAATTATAGTCTTTATGACCATTCATTCTATTCATGAAGCTTATGATTTTTGTAGGCTGAAGCAGAACTAATCTCTTCTATCATCACTTTTTTCAAGCGAATTGGAATCAGTGAATCGGATGTTGGATTTAGGGTTTCCAGTCGAAAGGTGCAAACATTTCTTCCTTACACATTATATGCCTTTAAGTAAACTTGTTTTTGTTGATCAGTGTTTCTCTAAGTTCTTCTTTGCCATGTTGTCAATATTTTTTCTACTGGTTAATATTTAGTTTGTTTCAATGATTTGTTAAGTGCCCATAGCCATACAACTGTTCCCTGCATCAAAATAAGTTGTCAACTTCAGTTGTACTATAATGTGTACTTACCTAACTTAATTTGAATATGTTGTACAAGTATATAAGTGTTTTGAAAATTTGTATAAGTGTTTCTACAAAGGTGAAACTTGGTTGATGGAAAAATCCCTTTTGCTGGCTGAACATGGTTTGAAGGAGGTAGGAGCCATAGTGAAACATAACAGTCTCTTTACTTCTTACCAGAGCTTTTCATCAGAAATGCATTATAAATTGCACTGCTTCTTGTATGCTTTCCTTGGTGAGATTTGGATCTTATCTTGAGACAAGACTTTTTGCATCTTTCTAACTCTCACCATAGTTAAATATGGTAGTAATACATTGCAGACTTCTGCAACTGCAGGGGGTTCACTACTGTTGGATTTAATTAGGAAATAAAATTTCACTATGCTCTTATGTGATTGTTTGATGCTCTGTTGTGAGCAATTAAAATCGCCATCAAAGAGCTTCTAAATAAAATCATAATTTGCATGCAGTGACAACTATTTCAGAATGTGCATCTTGCTAATCCATATGTTTCTATATATTTTTTTGTGTTCCTTTTCAGGTTTTGCAAGAAGTTTTGAGGTGCTACTCCATACCTGAAAACTTGTTTGGCAAGGTTTGCATCATCATAGACAAGGTTAGTTGTTTAAGGTTACATGACATATGTTCAGATGTGATGCACAAAGTTCATTGTTTTCCTCATGGAGGCTATTCTGTTGTTACTTATAAGACATTGTATTACTTGATTGTTTTCGACACACTATTTTGATAAAAAAACCAATGTGGGTGCTCACTTATAAATGTGTCATCATCTTCTGATTTAGTATCATTATTTTAAACTGAGTGGTGTTGGTTTTATTTGGGGAACAGATAGAGAAGCTACCACTTGATGTAATTAAGAATGATCTGAAGTCTGCTGGGATATCAGAAGAAGCTATTGAGGAGCTATTAAGGGTCCTCTCCATAAAGTCCTTGACAGAGTTGGAAGGTTGGTTTTAACGACATATTGAGTGAAAAGTCATATGTTATTGTTTTTTACCCAAACAACGTGGAATCTGTATTTTTCTTTCTAAAAGGGACAAGATGTAAAGTAAAAAGTGAATCTAAATATGTGTTAGACAAAACAATTGGATTTAATTTAAAAAAAAAAAAAAAATCTTCCTCATTATTGTCTAGCATATATTCTGTTTGCTTGGTAGTTAGCCATTGGCATTGCTCTTCCATGTACTGTGTTGGCCAAAAGCTGTTGGCATATTTCCAATGGAGATGCAAGATTGCTTATTTGCAATATTGACTTTAATGCATAGTAAGCTTTTCGGGTAATACTTGCACAAGATGTATAGGTATAGAGGTATTATTTGAAATGTAGAGAAAGCTGATATTAGGGATTGGGAACAAGGTCATATAAGTTAGAAACTGTGGGTGAAAGTTGGTGCTTGTTCCAAAGCAGCTTAATCTGTATGCTGCTCTGATTTTGTTTTTGTTAGTTTGCTTTTTGCAAGTATTATTTGTTATTTATATTTTATTATATTATTGTTTGGATTAAAGCATGTCATTACCTTACTACCACTACGATAATTTAGTATTTTCTCTGAGTGTTAGCAAACATTAGTTCTTCCTAATATCACTCATGGAACACATATCTTGTATGGGTGGATTCTCTTTTTATATTGCAGATGACTTTTATTTAAATTACATAAAATATTTCATCATTCTGTTCGTCTTTCGAGTACTGGAAGTTGTTGTAAGATGTTAGCCACACTGTACAATCCATAATTAGAAGTGATTGCAGAATGATCATCACTATCAGATGTCCTCTAAAGAATTTTTTTTTCATGTTTAAACTGTTCTTGAGGTCATAACAATCTTCTATGGATACTCAGTTAGACTTTTGAGTAACAGCAGAAAGATGTATTATGTTGGTAATGCTTATTCTAGTTTTGTATGTTATATCTATGTGATTGCAGAGATACTTGGAGGTGCAGGGGAAGCCGTTGCTGATCTGAAACTACTATTTTCGCTTGTGGAAAATTTTGGTTATTCTGATTGGATTCAGTTTGATGCATCTGTTGTCCGAGGCCTTGCCTACTACACTGGTATTGTATTCGAGGTTAGATTATTGATGTAGTTTTTTCTTTGTTAACCCAAATGTGGACACTTCAGAAAATTTTAGTTAAAAACAGCACTTATATTACTTATCATATTTCTTTATGAGGATCAAAAGTCTATGGATACAGTCAAATTGACTGTATACTTGGTCCTATGTTTTGGAAATATGGAATCTTAAGCAGATTATAGAAGGCTATTCCTTGGGTAGCAGTATTTCATCATTAAGATTAAAATTCTACAGAAGCTGTTACATGACTTTGCATGAAAATTGGCTAAACATCAGCCAAATAGGACTCTATAGTTTTGACTAGAAATTTTGGGTAGTTTTTATTAGCACCTGCCAATACTCTTCTGTTGATAGAAATAAAATTAGGATTGCCACCTTAACTCTCTGAAATGACTTAAAAATCCTTGTCTCAGTGTTTCGATAGGGATGGAAAGTTGAGAGCTATTTGTGGAGGTGGGCGTTATGATCGGCTACTCTCGACTTTTGGTGGTGATGACATTCCGGCTTGTGGCTTTGGATTTGGTGATGCGGTGATTGTAGAAGTATGTTGAAGATTTCTTTACATCATTACGTTTATTTTTTTTTTCTTTTTCTAGTTATGTTTAAGTAAATGATCAATGAAGTGCATTATACATTTGCAGTTTGTTTGGATGAGAGTAATTGGAAGGAAAATTTGGAGGGTTATTACTCTCCCTCATTTAGATTCTATATAATAATGAAATATAAAGAAAGGAAATAGGTGAAAATTATTCCCTTAAACTCTATCAATACTGATGTGATATGAGAAGTTTTGTAAAATTTGAACCTCAGGAAAGGGTATATTTTTTATGTTTATGTTTATATTTACTTATTTGTTTGCTTATAATTTTTTTTTGGGGGGTATGGATTGCAGTTGCTTAAGGAGAAGGGCCTTCTACCAGAACTCGACCTCCAGGTGGAGAACATTGTGTGTGCTTTGGATCATAATCTTCAAGGAGCGGCTGCTACAGTTGCAACAATACTCAGGGGAAAAGGTCAAAGTGTTGATTTAGTCTTGGAGAGCAAACCGCTTAAATGGTACTAATTCCATCTTTTTTTATGCTAGACATTTGTAGGCATGATGATCAACGTTCAAAATATTTTATTATGATATGTTTTCTTTTAGGGTGTTCAAACGGGCAGCACGGATAAATGCTCAAAGGCTGATTTTGGTGGGGAATACTGAATGGCAAAAGGGTATGGTTGGTGTAAAAATCCTCTCTTCTGGTGAACAATATGAGATTAAACTTGATGAGCTAGAGTGATAAAATTGGAATTATTTTGTGATCATTATGTACTTATGATGTCAATGCTTTAGTGGATTTATAGTTATTTATTGGTTTCATCCAATTTATGTACTTGTACAGTTATTAGTGAAATTAAATCAATTTTTGCGTTGTGACTTGTGATCTCATGGTGGCTTGCTACTGGGGTTGTATACGAGCCAAACCGAACACCATGGTGCTCGAGCTTGGCTTGTGAAAAATGAACTGAGCTCCAGAAACCCAGGCTCAAGCTCGAGCTTGAGCTCGGGCTCGGCGAGCTTTGGAAACCCAGGCTCGAGCTCGAGCTTGAGCTCGGGCTTGGCGAGCTTTGGAAACCCAGGCTGGAGCTCGGCTCGTTTACGAGTCAAGCCCTAATACACAACACTCAATGTTCCTAAACGAGCCGAGCCCTAATACACAACACTCAGGGCTTGTTTGATAGGTTATTTGAAAAAATGTTATCATGAAAAACTATCTAAATAGGATAAAATAGAATTAAATCAAATAGGATATGATTATGAGAATATGTTTAGTATAATACCTGAAAATTATATTAGAGTTGGATAAAAATTACAATAGTTTGGTACATTTTTTAAGAACATTTTTTTAAAAATATTTAGATTATTTTTTAATCCTTTACATTTGTTAATTTAGCTAAACACCTTTCACAGTAAAAGTTATAAATTAATAAAAACACCTCCACCCATCGAAGCTATTGTCGACAGTCGGCCACCACTGTCGGACGGCAACGACAGTTGTTGGAATGGCGCATGATCAGTTGGATTTAGTTGGTCGTGCGTCAATCTGGTCTTTTTCTATCAGATCCACTATGTATCTGGTAGGAAAAAGTTCGATTTATGGCCGTTGTCAATGGCCAAATCTTTGGCTATAGATCTGGTCATTTTCAACTAGATCGATGTCGTCGGTCAAATCCGGCCTGTTGTGTGTCGTTCCAACGCTGGCGGTTGACGGTGGTTGCTGGTAGAAGAGATAAACATTTATACTCTTATATGGATAAGAGTATAAACGTTTATACTCTTATATCGATAAGAGTATTAAACGTTTATACTCTTATATCGATAAGAGTATAAACGTTTATGACGTATTTTGTGTACATGATTAATTATCGATTTAGAAGCTTAATTTTGTGTACAATTCTTAGCCAAGCAAGCTTTCTCTGAAAATAGAAATGGGGAATATTTTTATGCACAATTTAGAAGGGGAAGCCATATGGGCAGTGCAATTATGTGATATTGATATAGTTAATTCCTGTACATTATCCTAAAACGTATATGCACTTTTATTTTAGNGTATTTTGTGTACATGATTAATTATCGATTTAGAAGCTTAATTTTGTGTACAATTCTTAGCCAAGCAAGCTTTCTCTGAAAATAGAAATGGTGAATATTTTTATGCACAATTTAGAAGGAGAAGCCATATGGGCAGTGCAATTATGTGATATTGATATAGTTAATTCCTGTACATTATCCTAAAACGTATATGCACTTTTATTTTAGTTGATACTCATATGCTTCATCCTTTAAAAAACAAAAATGCTAGACCAACAACACCTTCTCACAACTTTCCCTCACAATCTGCCATGTGTCAGTTTGCTATTTGTCAATTGCAATTTTATCAAGTGAAATCATTGTAGTTGACAAATAGGAAATAGACATGTGGCGAATTGTGAGAAAAAGTTGTGAGAAGGTGTTGTTGGTCTAGCATTACTCTTTAAAACAATTCTAAATACACATGCATATACAACAGTAGTATTGTTCAAGGTATATTAGCCCTCCTTCCCTGGTTTGGAATTTCTTCTAATTAGGTACAAATGTCCCTACGTATCCAAACCCCATTGTAAAAATGCCCCAGCTTGCAGTAACAGATACACGAAGAAATGGTCATTTCCAAAGAGCAGGTTGTAGATTGCACAGTATAGCATAAACATCCCCATTATCACCTCCAATACATGGATCCTTTTTTTTAAATGAGAAAGCCAAAACTACATGTTAAATTTATCACAAATTGCATACTTACGTTTGTTTGAGTGATGTGTTTGTTTTCCATATTTGGTGGTAGTGAATTATATTTTCATATGATGAGAAAAGGAAAATACCTTTCTCCAACTTGAGATCTTGGCTTCTTTGATGCTTTCATGTTGCTCTTTGCTTCATGGTATTCCCCAGTTTCTCAGTTACAACCCATTCATTGACACGATTTGCTTCCAGGAGGCCTATGATTGCAGCTTTAGTTCGAAGCAGAGACATAACACTCTCAAACAAAATCCAGAAGACAATTAGATGAAAAGACCTGCCCACAGAAATGACATAACAAAATCATAAATAAGAATAAATGATGGTGAAAAAACTTCTGATTTCTTGTACCTAGGAGTACAGACTGCATTAAGTAAGGTAATGGGGGCTGGAATGTATATTGCAATAGGCTTTGTGAGTTGGATTTCAGGAAACCAAAACACTAGCTGGTATAACTATGCAGTAGAAGAAGAAAGTGACCCAGTGCGCGATTATCTTCCTCACTATGAAGAATGCATATATAAGGTGCAGTCTCTTCCAGATTGTGACCCTCTGCATAAGAGATGGGGCTGTGTGAGAGTTTTCCTTGAAAAAGTTAGTTTTTCATGAATCAAATGTCATTCTTTTCCAGCTGAGTGAGTTTGACACTCACTTCACAAAGGATGATTTCTCTGGTAATTTTTCTGAAGAGATTAGAGGGGCCACACGACACGACCAGCGGTGCCATTGAAAGCGATACGCCTTGAAGGTACTAGGTATTTTTGACCTTGCAGGTTAGAAGGCAGAGAAGAAAAATCAACAATTTGTTGAAACTGGAAGATGTAAGTACAAGTTTTGACATAATCTCTGAGATGGGAAACTCACCCCTAGGTCTCCAACAAAGACAAATTGCCAGCCTTTGAGATTAGCCCTGACTGCAAGATCCAGGTCTTCCACTGTGGTTCTGTCTTTCCATCCACCAGCATCTTCTATGGCTTGAATTCGCCAAACGCCTGCTGTCCCTGTAACCACAAACGCTCGAGTTTTATTATTGAGATTCTGTTCTGCTGGTAGACAATGAATATTTTGGCTGAATTTAATTACCATTGAACCCGAAGAAAAAGGTTGAGGAGCCCACTTCTTGCTCGGCACTGAAGTGATAGTCTAGTGACATTTCTTGGAGCCGAGTCATAAGACATTCATCCGCATTTACTGGAGAGAATTCATCAGATGCCCGAAATGTAAATATTCTGCAGTTATTGAAGCTGACAAAGACTTTATTTTGTTCTTACCGAATTTCCATGTGGCTTGAACTAAACCCAACTCTGGGTTCTCAAGCAGATAAGGAATGGTCCTCCATAGAAAGTCCTCCTCAGGCTGGAAATCTGCATCAAGTATAACCACGAACTCGCAATCTTTCACATATTGCTTCTCTAAACCTTCTTTAAGGGCACCGGTCTTGTAACCATTCCTGTTGTTCCTAGTTTCATACTTCACATTCACACCTTTTTCTATCCATTTCAGGCACTCCAGCTCCACCAGTTTCTGCATGAATTCTAAAAGCTACTTGCAGTTCTCAAATTGATGCAGTGTTTAGATTTAATTGAGCTTAAAGTTGAAGAAATACCCTTAAGACTTCATTGGTCGAATCATCAAGAACTTGACTATCAGACGGTCCGAAGGCCATGAAAGTCCACATGCAGCCCCAATGGAGAGCTTGTAAACCTTAAAAAAAAAAAAAAAATATGTAACAGAATAGATAGGAAAAAAAATTTAGTCTAACAATTTCTGAATATGGAAGAATACTAATGCATCATTTTCACCAATACCTCCTTCTCGTTATACATAGGAATCTGAACCAGCACAGTGGGGTAGCCTTTCTTAAGCACTAGATTTTCTTTCATCTCCTCCAATTTATATTTGGTGTATCTTTTTCTCCCCATCAATTTTACAAACATGATCACAGTGGCCATGTAAACTCGTTCAATGAAAAGCATGACAGACATAACTGAGCACAAGATGATTGCCAGGCGAAGAAGTGGCACACCCATTGGAACCCTTATTGAGTTCCAGGCATAGCTTATGTTGCTTGTAACATCTGTCACTGATCTCGGCCGATTAGGCTCTTGAAAAATTAATTTTTTCATTGTCGCTCAGCTTTTTAGTTGTGAAAGAAACAAGCGCCCGAACTTGGACTGGAAAAGATGGCAACATGAAGCATTTGAGGATGAATATGGGATTCTAGAGTTGGAATATTGTGGATATTGAATCATTAAATTGAAGGTCTTAATATATTTAGAGGCACCGTTTACGTATCATAGCTGGAAAGCTGGCCTTACTTGTCAATTGGATGATCAAAAGTTTTAAAGCTGGCATTTCTTGTTTCCTCTCCAAGTGTTATTTATTCTGTGTTGTCTAAATGTGTTCTTGGTTCATTTGTCTAATTTTGGTCTTATTCTTCAGCGTGGTTGTAAGGATGTAGATGCTTTAATGTTGGTAATTAGTCGGAGATTAAAAAAATTATGGGTTTTTGTAATGATTCAGTTAAAAATAAATGAAGAACTGATCATCAAACCCCAGAAATCTTCAGAGTTAGCATGTTGGAACAGTGAATATGAATTCAATGATATGTGTTTTTAAGAAACTGGGATGCTAACATACTAAATCAAGATTGACCTGTTGAGGCTTGACCTTGAAATTTGGAAACGAGAAAACTGTTTAATGTCCAGCTCAGATAGCTGCTATAGATATTTCGCACACGTGGCGATAGGCAAAACAATAGTTCATTTAGATTTGTGTGTACACATGTAAACAAAACATGGATTGTGTTCAATGTTGAATGCAGACAGTAACAGTTTACATCTCATCTATGCTGTCTGTTTCCTTATGAATGCATTTGTAGTATTAATTTCTGATTGGTGCTTCAATGCCATTGTTTGGCTTCTAATTCTAGCTNAAAACTGTTTAATGTCCAGCTCAGATAGCTGCTATAGATATTTCGCACACGTGGCGATAGGCAAAACAATAGTTCATTTAGATTTGTGTGTACACATGTAAACAAAACATGGATTGTGTTCAATGTTGAATGCAGACAGTAACAGTTTACATCTCATCTATGCTGTCTGTTTCCTTATGAATGCATTTGTAGTATTAATTTCTGATCGGTGCTTCAATGCCATTGTTTGGCTTCTAATTCTAGCTGTTTCTTTGAAAACTTGAATAAATAAATACCACCAGTAAGATCTGCATTTTTTTTTTTGTAACGGTATCAGTTTGCTAGTGACATGATTCATCTAAGATTGCTTTCTTGCTGTAGAATTCTGTGTCAAATTTGAAAATATTTTGAGCAATAAAATGAGCATTCTGGAAAGAATCATGTATCATGCATAAAATTGTTGTCAATGCTTTAACAAGTCCAGTGATATTGATACATTTCATCTTCAGTTAATTTCTGTTTCCATTTTCAATATTCCCCCTATACGTTTTTCGGTTATGTGGTTTCAAGTTTCAAGCTTAATAGATTACATTTAACCTAACAAGTGTAATCTGGATTGAGAGGAGCTATGCGTGGAGGTGTATAGAATTGTAAAAGGCTAATGGGAACTATGCCAAATGTCATATCTCACATCGTTACAAAGGAGTTTGACATTCCATTTACAAGTCTTGGATCCTTATAGTTAAGTAAACGTATTTTGGGTGAATGAGGCAAGCGTGAAATTAAAAAGCAAATCTTTGTAGGTCGTGATTTGACATCAAAGGCTTTGCATCTCATCTAAAAGATTCAAGGTTAGTTCTAATCATTGGTCCGTAGTTTAGAACTAAGTTGTGAAATATTTCCTTGGGTTTAGTTGTCTATGGTTAGATACTGGTAGACTTTCATGTTTAGTGATGGTTTCTCTAATTAGATTAAATTCATCTCTACAATTACTGTTTTAATGTAGATTCAATGAAATTTGGTTTCTAGTACTTGTTGCCTGTGCAAAGCTTCATTTGATATCATATTTATACCAGCCCTGTAATGTTGGAGTATTATTTAATGTTAAACAATGAGACTTGATGTTCTTGAATGGTTTAGTATTTCTTCCATTTTGATCTGTTTGTTACTTACTGGAACAGAATTCTTGTGTGTGTTGGTTAACATTAAGATTAAAAGTTAAAGGTACAATGCCACTCTTTGATTTGCATTTGCTTGATAAAAATGATTGAAATAAAACACTCTTTGTCCCACTTTCAATGATGCTTAATTAGTCAACAGTATTTGCAGATCAGAACCACTTTTCTTTTTTAACTTTTGTGAAACTGAAGCTTCCTGGGAAAAATGAATGGAATCTCCTTTTTTTCTTCTGTCAATCTATTTTGTAGCTATTCATTCACTCTTGAGTCGCTACAGAAATTGACATGAATTGTTTTACTTAATTAAATGAGGAATTTATCATTCTAAATTTTATAATTTTTTATCAAAGAAGATTTTCCATAGGATTCTCACTTATAATTGCCGTAAAACATATTTGATTATATTATTTTTGATTAATTAATTGCTAACTCTCTACTCATTCAACCTTACTAATCAGCTTTTATTTTACAAATTTAAATATTAATTAATCCCCTTTTTCACTTATTAAATATATTAATTTATTTTCTAAAATTAACTCTAATTACATCCGATAAAAATAAGTCAAATTAAAAAAAATATATATATATAATTTTCCCACTAAATATTAAACAATAAAACCAACTCTCGGCCAGTATTTTCCCTCTTTTTCTCGTGCTTGAACCCTCCAATTCCATCGCCTCTCTTTCGCTCCAATCTTCATTCTATTTCTCAGATCAACCCTCACAAAACCCTCACACTCTCACTAACAACCAAAACCTCAATTATGTTCATAACCCACCATCCCCAATTACCCACAATTTGCTTTAATTAATTATTTAATTACTTGTGTTACTTTTCCTTATTGGGTATTTATGGTTACTGGGAATACTATTCACAGAGACGATGGGGACCGAAACCCACCTGCAACCGCCGCTTCTAGAGGCGGAGGAGGGGCTACGCGGTCGTGGGGCACCACCGTCTCCGGCCAATCGGTGTCCACTAGCGGCAGCGTGGGGTCGCCGTCGCAGAGTATGGCCACGCCGGCGAGTGACAATACTTTTTTGAGGCTGAACCATCTTGACATTCATGGGGATGATGCTGGCTCTCAAGGCGCTGTTGGGTGAGTAATTGAGTGCGTTTTTATTTTTTTGAGGTTAGAGGTTGGGGTTTTAGTTGTTTGACTGGTGAATTGGGTTGTGGGTTTGATTGGGGTTTTGTATTTGAGGGTTATTTTGGGAATTGTGGGTTGTGGGTTTGTTGCAATGAGTATTGAAATAGGTTAGTTGTTTGCTGTAGTTTGAGTTTGATGTTTTATCTTTACATGGTGTTTATTATGATTGAATTGTTAATTGGTGAGGTAAATTGTGAATTGTTTGCTGAATAAAGTTTCTTACTTATCAAAATTTTGATTATAGTTTGAGTTTGCTCGGAAAAATTGATCAAGTGGTTGTAAAATGTGAGAGTTCACTTTGAAAGTCCTGGCATTGTCTTCGATTTTTTTCACTAAAGTCAGTTATAATTTTTTGAAGTTACTGCACCATTATCGTAGCACTCTAGTATGGCTCATTTTTCTTCAGAAGCTACAGTTTTAATTTCCTATATGTATTCTTGCTAATTTTTGGTTTATAAGTAGTAGCAAGAAGAAAAAGCGAGGGCAACGGGTGGTTGGAGGAGATAAGAGTGGTAGAGGACTTCGCCAATTTAGCATGAAAGGTGCTTGATTAACGTTTTCTGTCTGTTCCTTTTTTCTGAATTTATTATATTCAAAATAAAATTTTGATCCTGACATGCTGGGGATTGCAGTCTAAAAAAAATAAAAGATGCATTAAATTGTGCTAGTTTTTGAGAAGCTTATTCATATAGTATTTCATGTTGAAATAATGGTTTCATGCTTTTCTTTCCTAAGATGGGGATTATTGTTGAGGAATGAGTAGTGATAACTTTTCTTGCTGATTTTGTGAACTCCCTTTGGTTGTTTCCAGTGTGTGAGAAAGTAGAAAGCAAGGGAAGAACCACATACAATGAGGTCAGGTGGTTTCTTGAAGTTGATTCATTTATGTGCATTCACTGTTTGTAATGGTTCTTCTAATGCTTATTCTATGAGTGGTTTTCACTGTATTTACTTGTTATAGTATGAAAACATGATGAAAATCTGAATTACTTGGTCCCATGGATGAGTTTTGGTGCTTACAAGGGCCGCTTTTGCATTTGAATTATTATTGTTATGAAACCTGGATTGGTTAATATTGTTTTCATTTCTTCCTTTGTGCTGATTTACAAGAGTCTTATGGTAGGAAATAGGCTTCAATTCATGTCATAGTTGTGAATCTCCTGTTAACATAGGAGTAATCTTTTCGAAGTCAATGACCTAGTAACAGTGTTGGGTAGTTATAATTTCGAAAATTTCTCATGTCTTTGTTGATGCTTCCAATTTTGTTTCTTGTTTTCATGGTTCTTGAACCCCTAGTCCTTCGGGTTTTAGTTTTGCGTGTAAGGGTGGTGTGGGGCTTGTAAGGGTTAGAACTATGCCTATTATCTCTTCTTAATTAGCATTTTCATTTCATCAATTAAGCTCCATGATGATACAAATTATGTGTGTACCTCTATTAACTAATATTTGTGTGAATAGCATAGCAATTTATGCTGGCTAACCTTTATCATCCATATTTTAATCGTAATTCCAGTAACTTAGTCAAAACTAAGGTTTTATATGACTTGTTTACTTTTTATCTCAGCACACAATTTCTCAAAGAAGTTATGCTCTCAAATATTAAGATTTTGAGGATTAATATTTTATATGTGCATCAGAATTGTTATTTCCGAGTTTCAATCTTTCTTATGCCCCTATCTTCCTTGTTCTCTATTTACTTTAGACCAATTATTTTATAAATATATGCCTATATCTGAGAGTTGAAAGTACTTTCAGGTTGCAGATGAACTTGTGGCTGAATTTGCTGATCCTAGTAATAGTTTAGCATCCCCAGATCAGGTTTATATTCTTCAACCAAGCTGATAGATATTTAATGTCATTTGCTTGCTTATATTGGCATTAACCATGTGAGTGTTCTAATATTGTAATATATCTTGTTTAACAGCAACAATATGACGAGAAAAACATTCGACGAAGGGTATATGATGCTCTAAATGTACTCATGGCCATGGATATTATATCAAAGGATAAAAAGGAAATACAGTGGAAGGGTCTCCCTCGTACTAGCCTGAATGATATCGAAGAATTAAAGGTGTGAATGTAGTTATTTTTGTTGTCTTGTACATTTAATAAAATTCTGAGTGGTCTGTTCTGAATAAGATATGAGCTTATCAATTTCATTTTGTATTAAATGCAGACTGAGCGTCTTGGACTAAGAAATAGAATTGAAAAGAAAGCTGCTTATCTCCAGGAACTAGAGGAGCAAGTAAGAGTTGCTATTTAGTTCCTCTGTCTGTTACCATATTGTAATCCTGGCATGAGCTTGTTCGCTGAATGCAGTTAGGTTGAGGACTTATGTTTTGACTGACCTTTATTTAATTTTGGTTTCTGTGGTCTAACTTATCTACCCCTTTATCAAGTTTGTAGGACTTCAAAACCTTATACAACGAAATGAGCAGTTATACAGTTCTGGAGATGCTCCCAGCGGTGGTGTTGCTTTACCTTTTATTCTGGTGCAGGTAGATTTGCTTCTCAATGTTTCTTGTGTCATGGTTCCATTCATTCTTAGTGAAATCTCAGAAATTCAGTTACTGAAGTTTAGCCACAAATGAGTTTCTAGAATTTTTAAAATAATTCCTATACAAGTTATTAATATAATTTGGCTGGTCTTCAGTCTACAGCTGCTTAGCCTGAATACAAAATTTGAACAGTAATTGACTCATGATGTGAGATGTATTGAAGAGATACTAAAGAGGTGAGTCTTGACCTAAGTTTCGCCATCTGATAGATTCCAATCTTGCTTGCCAGATTTATCAGAAGTTTGGATTACTTCCTGTGGTACATGAAAGTTCTGTTGTTTTTCATGACCACTCACTCTTAAAAAATGCTTGCAGTATTGTTTTGCCATTTAATACAAGTGCTATTAGCTTTTAAGTAGTCATTCTGATTACTGCTGTAACTGCTCACTAAGTTTATTGGACTGTAGTTTTGGGGTCTTCTAGTTTCAAATATATTTTCTTTCCTTGATGTTTTGCATTTTTCCTAATCTAAGTTTTTGGTCTGTTTGTTCAATTTTCTTCTCTTTCTATACTACTGTTTCACACTACAATTTTCCTAGATGGTATTCAAGATCATCAATTTCTTCATCTTAATATATCTTTCTTTCTTGCTTTTGTTGGTTCAGTTGTAATAGTATAATAAATAGGTTATATCTACACATCTTTTTTTCTTATCCGGGAGATTAGCATGATGTACTGCTGTTTGACCTGTACGTACATTTCTGCAACTTTTGGTTTTTTCTTGTAGTCTACAATTATTTAGTATATAAAAATGCTTAAATATGTAGTATCGAGTTTTACTCCAGTAGTTTTTATCCCACGGTTCTATTAATTCAAATGATTAAAATTTTGATTCCACCCATTATAGCTTTGTTAGACCAAAAGCATAAGGATGTAAAATTTGTGGATCTTGGAATTGTAATTTCATATGCTATTGTGTATTTCTATTTAAACCATATATTTCTCTTTCTTAGTGGGGAGTGAGAATTTTTTTTTTTTTTTTTTTTTTTTTTTTTTTAAATGTAGAAAACATAGTTGAGCGTTTAAAACAGTGTTTTGATACCCGGCCTGACCGGTTCAATCGGGACCCGGGGCCTTCGCCGAGCAGGTTATCACTTTTTACTATTCACCCTAAACCCTAGAATTATGTTGGAGCTTTTGGAGAGGGAGTGCCGGTGAGTCCAAAGGTGGTGAAGGGGGTGATTTTCGGAGAGTGAATCAACCGGAAAAGGCAAAAATCCATCGGCCAAAACAGCGGCCTGTTGCCGGTGATTGGCGGAGCAAATGGGGGAGGGGTGAGATGGGTTTTGGTCAGAAGGCTGAGGGGAGTGTTTTCGTGGTGATGGAGAGTGTTGTTGTTGCTGGAAACAGGCCCTATTTGACCTGGGTTGTCGACGCTGGCGATGGTGTTTGGGGTGTTTTTGCAAGATTTCAAACCTGTTAGGGACTTATAGTAANTTAATCGTAATTCCAGTAACTTAGTCAAAACGAAGGTTTTATATGACTTGTTTACTTTTTATCTCAGCACACAATTTCTCAAAGAAGTTATGCCCTCAAATTTTAAGATTTTGAGGATTAATATTTTATATGTGCATCAGAATTGTTATTTCCGAGTTTCAATCTTTCTTATGCCCCTATCTTCCTTGTTCTCTATTTACTTTAGACCAATTATTTTATAAATATATGCCTATATCTGAGAGTTGAAAGTACTTTCAGGTTGCAGATGAACTTGTGGCTGAATTTGCTGATCCTAGTAATAGTTTAGCATCCCCAGATCAGGTTTATATTCTTCAACCAAGCTGATAGATATTTAATGTCATTTGCTTGCTTATATTGGCATTAACCATGTGAGTGTTCTTATATTGTAATATATCTTGTTTAACAGCAACAATATGACGAGAAAAACATTCGACGAAGGGTATATGATGCTCTAAATGTACTCATGGCCATGGATATTATATCAAAGGATAAAAAGGAAATACAGTGGAAGGGTCTCCCTCGTACTAGCCTGAATGATATCGAAGAATTAAAGGTGTGAATGTAGTTATTTTTGTTGTCTTGTACATTTAATAAAATTCTGAGTGGTCTGTTCTGAATAAGATATGAGCTTATCAATTTCATTTTGTATTAAATGCAGACTGAGCGTCTTGGACTAAGAAATAGAATTGAAAAGAAAGCTGCTTATCTCCAGGAACTAGAGGAGCAAGTAAGAGTTGCTATTTAGTTCCTCTGTCTGTTACCATATTGTAATCCTGGCATGAGCTTGTTCGCTGAATGCAGTTAGGTTGAGGACTTATGTTTTGACTGACCTTTATTTAATTTTGGTTTCTGTGGTCTAACTTATCTACCCCTTTATCAAGTTTGTAGGACTTCAAAACCTTATACAACGGAATGAGCAGTTATACAGTTCTGGAGATGCTCCCAGCGGTGGTGTTGCTTTACCTTTTATTCTTGTGCAGGTAGATTTGCTTCTCAATGTTTCTTGTCTCATGGTTCGATTCATTCTTAGTGAAATCTCAGAAATTCAGTTACTGAAGTTTAGCCACAAATGAGTTTCTAGAATTTTTAAAATAATTCCTATACAAGTTATTACTATAATTTGGCTGGTCTTCAGTCTACAGCTGCTTAGCCTGAATACAAAATTTGAACAGTAATTGACTCATGATGTGAGATGTATTGAAGAGATACTAAAGAGGTGAGTCTTGACCTAAGTTTCGCCATCTGATAGATTCCAATCTTGCTTGCCAGATTTATCAGAAGTTTGGATTACTTCCTGTGGTACATGAAAGTTCTGTTGTTTTTCATGACCACTCACTCTTAAAAAATGCTTGCAGTATTGTTTTGCCATTTAATACAAGTGCTATTAGCTTTTAAGTAGTCATTCTGATTACTGCTGTAACTGCTCACTAAGTTTATTGGACTGTAGTTTTGGGGTCTTCTAGTTTCAAATATATTTTCTTTCCTTGATGTTTTGCATTTTTCCTAATCTAAGTTTTTGGTCTGTTTGTTCAATTTTCTTCTCTTTCTATACTACTGTTTCACACTACAATTTTCCTAGATGGTATTCAAGATCATCAATTTCTTCATCTTAATATATCTTTCTTTCTTGCTTTTGTTGGTTCAGTTGTAATAGTATAATAAATAGGTTATATCTACACATCTTTTTTTCTTATCCGGGAGATTAGCATGATGTACTGCTGTTTGACCTGTACGTACATTTCTGCAACTTTTGGTTTTTTCTTGTAGTCTACAATTATTTAGTATATAAAAATGCTTAAATATGTAGTATCGAGTTTTACTCCAGTAGTTTTTATCCCACGGTTCTATTAATTCAAATGATTAAAATTTTGATTCCACCCATTATAGCTTTGTTAGACCAAAAGCATAAGGATGTAAAATTTGTGGATCTTGGAATTGTAATTTCATATGCTATTGTGTATTTCTATTTAAACCATATATTTCTCTTTCTTAGTGGGGAGTGAGAATTTTTTTTTTTTTTTTTTTTTTTTTTTTTTTAAATGTAGAAAACATAGTTGAGCGTTTAAAACAGTGTTTTGATACCCGGCCTGACCGGTTCAATCGGGACCCGGGGCCTTCGCCGAGCAGGTTATCACTTTTTACTATTCACCCTAAACCCTAGAATTATGTTGGAGCTTTTAGAGAGGGAGTGCCGGTGAGTCCAGAGGTGGTGAAGGGAGTGATTTTCGGAGAGTGAATCAACCGGAAAAGGCAAAAATCAATCGGCCAAAACAGTAGCCTGTTGCCGGTGATTGGCGGAGCAAATGGGGGAGGGGTGAGATGGGTTTTGGTCAGAAGGCTGAGGGGAGTGTTTTCGTGGTGATGGAGAGTGTTGTTGTTGCTGGAAACAGGCCCTATTTGACCTGGGTTGTCGACGCTGGCGATGGTGTTTGGGGTGTTTTTGCAAGATTTCAAACCTGTTAGGGACTTATAGTAATTTTCAGGAGTATTTTTTTGAATTTCAAACCTTTGGACACTGGTTTGACCCGTCGGTCAAACTGGTTCAACCGGTCAACCTGGGACCCGGCCATTTTGCTGGGTTTCACCCCTAGTTAGTTATTAAAACATTGGTTCAAAATATAGTTCTCTTTTTGTGGTAAAGAAAATTTAAGTTCAACTACTTATTAATATGAATTGCACGATTCCGTTGTGTACACTTTTGCCTTAGCTGATTTGCGATTTGCCCTCAATCATATAGTTATTCTCAACTTTGCCGTAACCTTTTGAAGCTGTGATTTGCTTAACAAATAATATTTGCACAAGAGTTTGTATTGTAACCCAGAGCAATTTAATAGAGATGAATTTTTATATTGTCAGTGTGAGATTTATGTCTCTTGTGGTTAAGCTGAAATATGGATTGCTATAAGCTGAATTGGGGAAGTAGAATTTTCTTCACATTATTTTATCAATATAGAGAGAAAAAACATATTCATGAATTGACTTTTAGCATGTAATAAACTAAGGGCTATGGTTTCCCAAAAACCTCATTCAATCTAGTGCCAGTGGAATGCTGTTCTGCAAGGACATCAGCTTTTGTATATATGCACATCCACTTTGCTAATTCATTTCTTTTTTCCTTACCTTCTATACTGTGGAGACTCTAAGTATGCTTCAGTTCATGTCTCAGTTATAGAGCACACTTAGATAAATTATAGATGTGTCAATTTAAAATGAAATGGGAGATAAAATATTACTTTATTGATGTCTATTGCATATAGCTAGAGTTTTCGGCTCTTTTGTACACTTATTTGCTGTACTACAATCATGCTCTTAGCTATCACCTAGATGTTAAGTTGCATTTATTGTGATATCTCTCATTTTTCTTTTTCTTCATTGACATATGGAAACCATAGACACGCCCTCATGCAACTGTTGAAGTGGAAATATCAGAAGATATGCAGCTGGTGCACTTTGACTTTAATAGGTAAGAGTTTCATTGTTCTGCTTATAAAGGGCGGTTTTGAGTGATTCTCATTTAAAGTTAATGTCGTCAAGAGGCCAATGTTGTAGCATGTGGTTAACAACTGAAAAGAAATGCAGCGGAAGGAAGGGTTGGAGAGGGGTGGTGGTTGAGGCTTCATGTTCACATTGCGATAACCCCTTGCTTGACAAGTTGATCATTTTTATCTGTACTCAATTTACTGTTTTATTCATCCTAAAATTTTCATTATTCTAATTGCAGCACCCCTTTTGAACTCCACGATGACAATTATGTTCTTAAGGCAATGAAGTTTTGTGAGAGACCACAAAGTGATAATATGGTACCTAGTTTCCCTGTAGATGGTGGTGAAGGTTCTAGCATGTCATCAGGTATGTACCAGTCACAACTCCTTCCTCCACGATCAAACACCTCGAGTAGGCCTCCAACCTCACCACCGATCCCTGGTATACTAAAAGCACGCGTCAAGCATGAGCATTGATCAGCAACTTACAAAACTTGATCATCTTACCATAGGCAATTCTCTCTGCATACCTGTATATTTGTGTAAAGTAATTTGCCAGAAAGCTGGTAGCCCAGTTATGGCTATCTGCACCTCATTAGATTTTGCCCCCAATGGGAGGGAATATTAAGGTAACTTGCAGATCATTCTCACTGCTTTTGGACATCCTAGGGGTTTTGGCTCTGGCAAATTCTGTGCTTTTAATTTTTAATAGCCATTGTAATTGTTTTAGCATATTTTTTCGTGTCATTTTATTTCCATGTAGAAGTGAATTTATTTGTATTGAACTGTAGAGGATTTTCCAGCTGCATACAGAATCATAGAATTAATTTTAACAATTCGACCTGCTCATTTTATTCCACTTTACATCTATTTCATTACTTTGCTTCACCACCGTTGTTATAATTGTCAGGAAGATCCACCGTTTGGCAATTTTTGGCCATAGATTGAAGAACAGACAGAAGTTTTACTTTGGTCTTCGGATTGAAAATTTCTGCTCATTGCTTTCTTTCTCTTTATCTAGGAAGGGACTGTCATATTCCAATGATTCCGACGTTCGTTGTGACATTCTTATCTATTTCTGATCTTTAAGCGACTTTCATTGATCTGTATATTAACTTAACATGAACATCCCCAAGTATTGGACTATTGGGCATGATGATTTCTGGACCTCATATTCTGTAGGCCATCAACCAAAGCTGTAAAACATTAGTTTTGGCTAAACAATTTGAGCAACATTTGGAGAGTCGTGAAATTGCATTTGGGGCCAGCAGAAGTAAAGTTTAACAAATGAGGGCGACAGTGGTAAGAAAGAAATATTTTTGATTCATTGAATAAAAAATGTAAAGCAATTTGGAGATGGGTAATTTCGGCAGTGAACTTTAAAGTTTATGGAGAATTAGTTGAAATATTCATAAACGGTTAAAAAAAAAGGGAGTTATTTCTTTAAGGGAGAATGACATTTTCACCCCTAAGGTTTGGCGAAATGACACTTTTCCACCCATTAAGTTTCAAAACGACATTTTCTCACCGTCCGTCAGATTTTATTAGTGTTTTTTGTTAATATTTGATTAAAAAGACAAAAATACCCTTACATATTTGACTTTATAATTTTTTGTCATTTCAACAAAATCGATTACCAAATTACCCACTCTTTAAAAATGAAATCACTAGTATGCCCTCAACTTTTATGAAAATTAAATTACCAATTTGTCCTTTTTTCAATCAAAAATAATGTTTTCAATGTATGAAGTTACCGTTGGATTTTTAAAAAATTAAAACCTATAGAATTACCATTTTATCCTTATAGTTGTTGCAACCCTAAATTGGCATTTATATTTAAATTTTGTCAATTTAAACCCAAATAAAACAAAGTACTAGCATTACTAATATTTGAAAATAAGAATCCAAATTGTAAAATTGCAGTGCATATACAGTAAAACCTCTCTATAGTCATAATGTTGGGACTAACTAATTTTATTACTATAAAGAGATTATAACTTAATGGAGGTGTAGTTACAAAAATTATTGTTTTTGATTTCTTATTTTATAATTCATGTTTCAATAGCACAGTATTAGGATTTCAATTCATATTTTAGTAATATTAGGATTTCAATATAACGTTTCAATTACCTACTTTTGAAACAGATAAAATATCGTTTCTTAGAACCAACAAAAATAAGTGTCATTGATAAAACTGTAAATACAGTTGATGTATGGTCAATTGATGTGAAGCCACAGACAATTGTCAATGGTTTTAAGCGCTGCAAAATTAGGACCACTAATGTCAATAAATTGTAAGTTACAAATGAAGTGGATGAGGAGAACAAAACAGTTACTATAGAATTGAGTGATCAGATTCGACGAATTCACTACACTAATCGAATGGATAAAAATGTCTTCTTCGATTATCCAAATGAGCAACAAATTGTGTATACTTTAACCAAAGGAGAAATCATTGTTGCAATTAGACAGGAAAAGAAAGGAAATAATCCTAAGGATAATAGTACGGAAACACAAAAAGTCTTGTGTCATGAAGCTCTAAACATGCTTAAGAAACTAAAAATATTTTGGCTTCAACAAGAAGGTATCCATGCTAACGAGCTACTACGTACTCGTAAGGTAAAAGATGTGATAACAACTCTAAAACATAAATCATTGTCCCAAACAATTATAAATAAATATTTTATTTCATTTTAAACCTTTAATTTTACATAACATATTTTTTTTTTTTTATAATATACATATAATTATTACTATGTAAAGGCAACTTTCCTTAAGGCGGGAATTAGAAAAATTATAACTTATTACAATGTAAAGTTTATTCTTATTTATAACTATTCCAAATTGGGACTAGAATTTTTTATGACTATGTAGAGTTTATTCCTATATAGAGTATCACTATAGAGAGGTTTTACTGTATATATATATAATTTTTTGTCAATTGAAACCCATTAAGAATAGGGAATTCAATACCAAGAAAATAGGTTTCCACAAATTTTGTGCAAAGACAAAAAAATAGTACTGTTGATTTAATAGAGAAGCAAAAGTGTAAAACCAAGTAGTCACAAATTACAAAAATTTCATATATTTTCCCCGTCTAACTAACTGCTTTCAAAAGTTATCCCGAAAATAATTTATGTTGCCAAAACTGTAAATTCCTAGAATACTTCAATCTCCTTGCCTTCATGATGTCTCCATCTTTCTAAAATCAGCTCTTCACTTGAAATCATCGCTAGAATGATACCCTACACAGAAAAATATACCATTCTTTAATATTCTGTCAATTGAACAGGAAGTAACCAGCAAACAAGGCAAAATTTGTGACTGATCCCATCAAAATAACCATCAATTCAACGGAAAACATCAAAGTAACCACAAAACAAGATTAGTAAGAAACCACATTTACTAGTTGACCGATAAGAAAAACTAATAAAGATCTATTTTACCTTTTATTTTAATATTTTAGTAAATTAATTAAGTAAACACAAAAATTCAGAAATATTATCAATCAGTAACAAATTATAAGAAATATATGTTCAAGTCTTTAAAAAGTTGTGTTTGATATAGAATCATATAATGTATAATTATAATAACATTATGATTGGTAAAATATAACCAATACTCCTCTTAACATATTATAAACTTAGCATTTACTTAAAAATTCCTAAAACTTCATAAATGGTGAATGATTTTTCTTTCTAACTTTGAGTAGACAAGAGCGGTAAAGAAAAAGGAGACTGTCGGAGTATGTTCGAGAGATATATCTAGACCTGGGCAGGGACCGGTCCCAACCGGGCCCAGACCGGTCCTGGGTCTGGGCCTGATTGGGACTGGTCCCGGGTTTGGGCCCGATTGGGACCGATCCCAACGGGGCTGGTCCCATTTGGGACCAGTTGCTCGTGGGCCTGGGACCGATCCCAAGCGCATGAGAAATTTCAAGACCCAAATCTGTCCCTAGGACTAGTCCTATGGGTCTGGAAAATTATTTTTCACCTCCCCAATTTTTTCTTATATTTAGGGGGCCAAAAACAATTATGTAGGGGGGATTTTTGTAACATTTAGGGGCTGGAAAATTTATTTCCACCTTGAGAGATTAGCAAATTTTTAATTAATTTTAAAAAATAATAAATAAATAAATAAATTAATGATTAATTATAATTAATAATAATTTATAAATATGGGTGTTGGGTTTGTTTGGTTGATTGGGTGGTGATGGTGGCTTGTTCCTGTTGGTTGGGAGGTTTGTTTGGTGGTGATGGCTTATGTGGGTGCTAGGTTTGTCTGGTTGATTGGGTGGTGATGTTGGCTTATTAGTGTTGACTGAGATGTTTGCTGGGTGATGATGGCGCAGGTGATGGTTGTTCACAAGTTGGGTGTGGCTATTGGTGTGGGTGTGGGTGTGGGTGTGGGGGGTAGGGGTGGTAGTCGGTGATGGTGGCAGTAGGAAATTTCGTATTTTATATTTTGATATTGCTTGTTAGAAATTTCGAAGAATGCATATTAATTCTAATTGGAAAATCTTTCCATTTTAGTGAATATTTTGAATTTCCAGTCAATTGTGCACACAATCACACCAGATATGGTTCTCTCACTCACCGCTACTGCAAGCAATGGAAAATCAAGAAAGCAAGTATGGATCTTTTTCCCAAATCTTGAATTCATATAGACTCTCAAACGTCTAATGTTGCCTCTTAAATCAAATGGCAGTAAAGTTCATTTATTAAAAAAGATTAGTCTTAAATCAAGTGGCAGTAAGGTTCCTTTGGTAAAAACGTTTTGCTGAAAACCAAAGGGTACGTATTCTTGATCAAAATCTTGATTTGGTAGGTTCATTTTTTATGGTTTAATGATATGACTCCATTCAATTTAGGGTTTATGACCCAGAGTCTCGTCAAGCTTGCATTTTTGTTGGCCTCCTCTCTCCCTTCGACAACTCCACCTATAGTCTCCCCCATGGCAACTCTGTTAGGTGGTGATGGCGTATGTGGGTATTGAGTTTGTCTGCTTGACTGGGAGGTGATGTTGGCTTGGATGTTTGCTGGAGGTGATGTTGGCTTGGATGTTTGCTGGGTATTGATGGCGTAGGTGGTGGTTGTACATATGTTGGTGTGGGTGTGGGTGTGGGTGTGGGGGGTAGGGGTGGTGCTTGTTGATGGTGGCAGTGGGGAATTTCGTATTTTATATTCCGATATTGCGTGTTAGAAATTTATAAGGTTGCATAAGAATTCTAATTGGAAAATATTTCCATTCTAGTGAATATTTTGAATTTGCGCACACAATCTCACCTGATATGGTTCTCTCACTCACCGCTATTGCAAGCAATGGAAAATCAAGAAAGTAGGTATGGATTTTTTTCCCAAATTTTGAATTCATATAGACTCTCAAGCATCTAATGTTGCCTCTGAAATCAAATGACAATAAGGTTCATTTGTTAAAAAAGATTAGTCTTAAATCAAGTGAAAGTAAGTCCTAGGTGACTTCATAAATTAATTTGTTTTGTTTTTTCTTTATAATTTTGATATTTGGGATGGTTTTTATTGAATTTCTGTAAATTCCAGGTATCCTGCTTGTTACCGCGGTTTTCCTCCGCCACAAGTGAGGCCTATTAATAAAATTGGGAGGAAGTAACTCATGGACAGGTGACTTCGTCTCTTCTCTAAAAAAAAAAAAAAAAAAAAAAGTGACAGTAAGGTTCCTTTGGTAAAAAAGTTTCTCTAATAATCGAAGGGGTACGTATTCTTGATGAAAATCTTGATTTGGTAGGTTCATTTTTTATGATCTAATTATATGACTCCAATTGATTTAGGGTCTATGACACATAGTTTCATAAAGAGCATTTGATTGAAATTCCGAATCAAATTTTAGATGGT